AACTTTAACTTAACTTCATTATCTCCAATACTATCAATATAATTAAATAATATCAATCAATTATTCTTACATATCACATCAACTTTAATTTACTATTCATCTACTCACATAATTTTAACTAACTATCACTTTCAATCATTTTCTTCTACTTTTACATCAAATCAACTTTAATTATTTTATTTTATATATTATTTTAATATATCCACTAACAACTAATCATATCAACTTTAAATCAAACTTAACTATAGTTAAAAAAAAAACTAGTTTTTTACTAGTTAAATTCATATCCAATCAAGCCCTTAATATTTTTGTAAAATGTTTCGAAAATTATAATATATAATTTATCCTGAAAGAAGGCTACTAACAACAGCTTTCTTGGGCCTCCTTCGGAAAGCCCATCCCGGTTTTATTTAGGAAGTTTAATGGATTTCGCAGCCCATAAATCTGCACAGAGAAAATACAAAATATATATTTATATATATATCAAAGAAAAATGAAATAAGGAAAAAAAAAAAAAAAAAATCACAAACTTTCGGATAAAGCTACGCTACGCACACCAGCTTCGCTCCCCTCAAAGCCATCCCCAAAATTCCTGTAAGCGTAAAGCCAGAAAACATTTGTAGGCGAAAATGGCGGCCATGGCTACGTCCTCACTCTCTTCAGTACTATTGGCAGCATCCAATTCGTCCAGTTTGTCTTCCAGGCCGCAGCTTTCTTTTCCTTCATCGGCTCCCTCGAAGCTGCTGTCTGCGAGGCCCTCGCGACTATCTTCTTCGAGGAGGAGTTTGGCTGTTCCTGAAGTGTTGGAGTCCAGTGTGGGCTCTGCTACGAACGAGGTTCGTTTTTGTTTACTTTTAATTTCCACTGCAGTTGAAATTTTTAATTCTGCCCAAGATAATTTCGTTTTCGTTTTCGATTATTGTTTCCTCCAGTTTTTGTGAAAATGGGTCTTGTTTGTGTTCATAGGATGATGCTCCTACGGCGAAGATCAGTGTCGGCGAAACTTCGGACATGGTATATTCATTCTTTTGGCTCTTACAAATGGATTTTCCCTTTTTTTTGTTTGTTTTTTTTTTGTGGTTGCTTTAGAGATGAAAATTGGAATTGGGAAATTTTGTTAGCTGATGGTAATGGCATTTGATCTGCATAATGGTAATAGCATTAAGGGCAGGGTCGAAAGATTTTAGATCTTCGTTTGTTGGAAATTGCATAATTTTAGTTGCAGAACTTGTGGTTTTCTGTTTGTGTCTTGTATAATAGATTTAATTAGGTACCGGTTTTAGTGTTACGCAGTAAGGGTTGTGTGAGTTGCGATCGTTTATGCACCACAATGATGAAACAGTTGCTCTATATCTCTTTCTTTCATTTCACTTTTTCATTTTCCGGCTGTATTTACGTTGTATCTTCACATGGATTGTCTGCGTAAGTTTCCTCAAGGTAGAGATCAACACAAGAGAGGTAGTTGATGTGGTCGAAGAAATTTTAGTGGTGGTGATAAAAAATGTGATTGAGGATTTACCCTTAGTGAATAATATGCTGAATCTGAAATGAAATTACCCGGTAATGGTGAGTAGGTAGTACTGATGCTTAATCAATTCGGCAGAATGAGATATTGGGTTTAGATTTAAATGCATTATTCTATTACCAAAGTGATCATCTAATTGCTTTGGGTATTTAGGGTTGTCTAGTTAAATACTAAGTTAAAATCGTGCTTAATTGCTCTTGTTTTGTTGGACAACTGATTAGTGTAAGAAAAGAAAGAAAAATCACTGGCTTGTATGATATGCTAATTGTTTTCTTTTGAAAAAAAAAAAAGAAAAGAAAAAGAGCATAGTCGTGTTGGGAATTGATTGCTCTCACACATTGATGGTTTCAAATTAAAGCCAGAGTGACATCTTAAGTATCCAACCACAGATACTCCTGCACAGTTTTATCCATGTAGAATCATCAGAAAGCCTTGTGTTCGAATCTGAATAGTAATCGGGAGCTTTGTCCTTCATAACATTGTGGTTCTTCCCTGTTCTCTCACATTTTTTGGGGTGTTTACGCTTACTTGTACTTATGTAGGGCTGACATTGATATAATTAGCATGAGGCATTTTATTGATTGATTTGCCAAGTGAAAGAAGAATTTAACTAACTACATTCCTTAAAACTGTCCGAACAGTTTCCAGAAGATCTTGTATTGTCCTCTGTCTGTATAACAATATCATACAAAGTTATTATGCATCACAATATACAATGAACCCTAATCACAAGTATTTACGCTCTCAGGCTGTGCCAAAACATAGGATTAGGATCAAACTGAGATCGTACTGGGTCCCGCTGATAGAAGACTCGTGCAAGAAGATAATGGATGCTGCTCGGACAACAAACACAAAGACCATGGGCCCAATCCCACTGCCCACAAAGAAGAGGGTTTACTGTGTGTTGAAATCGCCACACGTGCACAAGGACGCTAGATTCCATTTCGAGATCAGAACACATCAAAGGCTCATAGACATTCTTTACCCGACTGCCCAGACGATCGACTGCTTGATGCAGCTCGACTTGCCTGCCGGTGTTGATGTGGAGGTCAAGCTTTAGCTTTGTGAAACACTTCTGTTGTTATTGTAGACTAATGGAGGAAAGGAAAAACATTGCTGCTATTATTTTGTTCTGAAAAATGTATGGATTGTTAGTAAATGTTGCTCTCGAGTTAGCTTGTGATCTGATTTCTTATGTAAATTTATTTATTTATTATTTTTTTTTTTCCATATCTCTGCAATTCGAGAATATCTTTTTGCAAAAATCCAGGTTCTGTCCCGGGCAATTCGATTAATTTGAAATAGTTGTACAAATTCATCGATGTCGAAATAACCAATTGGCACATCAGGAAAATATTATCAGCTGCTGTGGCTGAATTGCATATACAACTGATACTGAAAGATGTCATGGCTGTATTAGAATGTCTTATTTTTACTGAATTGCTATCCACTTTTCGTAGGGATATTGAATAGTTACTGGCAATTGATCTGTATACGTACTGGCAAACGATTTATATGGGACTGTATAATCACGAAACCCTGATCTTGATTGATATTTTGGGCTGGACAATAGAAATTGGGCTTAAAGACACATCTATATTATTCTCAAAAAAATTTTCTCACAAACATAATGAATTTAAAATAATTTCGATTCTATTTATAAAATATTTTTTCTATTTTAGTACTAGCATCATTTTCTTCTCTGAGCTTTTTTAGATCGTTTACAATTTATCTAAGTTTATTATATTATCTCTATACTTTATTAAAAACAAATTTGAAACTTCTGGTTAATCTTAAGTTTATTATCTGATTATTTTTAACTAAATCACAGAAAAGTAAATAGATTAAAAAAATCAATTAAAAAAAGTGAATATAAACTGCAAACAAGACATAAAAAAATAAAAATAAAAAAATAAAAAAATCAATAACCATAATCAAAACATAGATAAACATCAAATTAACTCCCAAAATCGTTCTAACACACAAATATCACATACTTCTAAAAGATGAATTATTCAGAAATTAACAAGAACATAATTTGCTTCCCTAAACCCACTAGGCGAAGGTCCCCTGGATATGCAGAAATTATGAGGAAATTGCAAATTTGGTCCCGTTAGATTGAGACGGTTTTACTTTTAGTTCCAAGAGGCACATTTTCAGTCCTTAACTAATGTTTGTTTCGCATTTGGTCCCAAATTC